ACCTAATAAGCTTCTCACATCGTCCAAAAATGCGATCTGCTGGCAGGTATGAATGACCTCTTATTGGAAAAACCATTCTTATAGATTGCAGGTCTTTTGGTGCTTCTTGATGTAGCCACATCATTAGCATGTGAACTATGTGACTTTTCTGGTTTTGGCCTCCACATCCATCAGAGAACAACGTCAATTCTTTCAAGTTTTTTGGAAGTTCAGCCTTTCTGAGAAAATCGTAAAGAGCAGAACCAACTCCTGTGGCACCCCTTCCTGCTTGGTGTTCTAACCATGAGTAGAAAATTGGTCGCTTGCAAGGTATGTCTGTGATACAGAAAACATACAAGGAGAGTTGCTGTGCATAGAATGCCTCTGAAATCGGTACTTTAGGGAGAGGTTGTACCTGCTGAAGATCGAAGCAGAATGCCATGCCGTCTTCAGATTTTTCCTTCATCATTTTAAAAAACTGCTTTGCTCGTAACTTATGTACTCTTAAATTTGTAATAACAGTTTGCTTTTCGCGTTGCCCGTTCACCATAGAGAGCAGATTTAGGTGCCGCGTACAGAATCCACAAACATCGGTCGCCGGTGTACCGAATCCTATGTTAAAGTCATTCGAAATAATGCGACTAAAGTACTTGTAATTTACTTTATAGCTTTCTTCAACGCTATCATTGTATAGCCTATGTAGTATGGTGATATTGTACTCTGCAGATAAATATATCCTTTTAGATTTCGCTCTTCCGTAGTGACTCTCTTGCCTCTTTAAATTTGCGATGAATGCTTTCACTTTTTTGCGCTTTTCCACATTTTTCTGCGAACGTCTGTCACCACCACGATTTTCAGAAATACCCGATCCAGCTTTCATTTGCCTAGAAATATTTTTCTTCGAAAGGAATATCCTTACATGAAAGTTTTTTATTTCTGCCATGCTTACAGGAGACTTCGAAACCATCAAGGTTGGGATCAGGGTCATCGTATCTAGAAATAAAACCGCAAACTATGAGAAAATTCCCCAAATAACATAATTTACTATATCTACTGTATTTCTTTCTGCCGCTGCCGTGATGTTGCACCCCATTTTCGTTTTCTACTGCCTCTGTCTTGATCACCAACAATATGCTCTTCAACCATAATAGTGGTCCGACCGATCTAACCCACTCGATATCACTATGCTAACTGAAGCAAGTTACGACAGGATTACAATCTTGAGACACGTGTCCAAACAAAAGGGTTTACTTGCTGCTCATCGAAAATATACTGGACAAACAAAAAGCGTTCATGCACTAACTAGCTTATCAAAGTCTATTTGTTTGTCCAACGCAGAAAAAAATAACGCTCTTTGAAAGTCTAGACTTATTAACGGGCGTTATATTTATCGTTTAATATCGTTTTGGATGTCCAAGGGGCGGTTGAAAAATGGAGATGAACCTATACATTTGATCGCCATCTTTTGGCCAATTTCGTAAAAACTGCACTTAATGCTTTTTGAAAGTCTGCTCCTCAACTGTAAATCAGGTGATATTCACCACAGGGCATACTTAATCAAAATAAAATACGTTCCATTCTTCTATAATTTTTTAGAACAATATCATCATTTCTTTTAGTGCTAATATGCAGCTTGAAAACAAAGCCGTTGCGGACCCATGTTCATATGGAAATTTCGTCTTCAAATTGACCAATGATTCGATGGTTAAAGTTCGTCTACATACTTTATTAACACCCTGTATAGTGTGAAAACAGACCGACAGACAGGCCAACAGAACGACGGAAATGAGTGACATGTTTTTTTGTAACATACATGTCATATAATATCCATAAAACATAATACCTCATTTTCGAAATTTTTCGCGATTGCAGTAAAGACTGAAAAAGCGATTCACTATTCGATGGATTCAAAAACACAAGTTTGTTAACTTCTTCCTCAGTTCACAATATTCTGGGCTGTCTAGGTAGTTTTCTGTGCCCTCCTCACGTTCCTAGAAACGACGTTTGTACAAAATAGACAAACTTACTCAATGCGGGATGGAGAGAGAAAAACCATCTAAATAGACTCGCAAAGCACCAGTAGCATCTTGAAGATATTAATATTACATGGATTCGGGGTCGTTTCCTGTCACGAAGTTTGCCAATATTACAAAAATTAATTTTCTTTTTCAGTGTTCTAGAAGAAAATTAAACACTAATGGAACATTCACATTGTGCGTTAGTGAGTTGCAGTCTGGATGTCATTATCTTAAATGTGCGCCACGTTGAACTGTGATTTAATTAGCACTGGTTCTGACTAAATGGGTTTGTTCATTTTTATTTCATTTTTCTGATAATGAATAAACTTTTGAATCGTTGGAGTATTTGATACAAACGCGGCTCATTATTTTATCTTTTATGTGTACATACATATGTAGGAAGTAGTTAGGGTTTTAAAAATATTTATGTGTTTTAGTTATTCATGTGCATCATCACTTAAATCGTTTAATAATCTGAATGTAACGTAAGTACTTGCAACTCTTTTTTTGTAGAACACTGAAGAAAGGAATAATTTTTTACACTTCTATGCAGTTTGAACGATCGTGTAAAATACTGAAATTTCGCGAAGTCATCATTGCAATAAGATAGAACCCCACAAAACCAGCAAAGTTGCGAACCGTATGGGGTTCCCGCCCTTTAAGCATCCCCAAAGCATCCAAAGCGATGAGCGAGCATGCCATATCTTCCGTTAGCGTTAAAAAAAGCCACTCATAATTGTTGTCCTGGGCTTTGCTGGCTTTTACGCGGTGACATCTTAATATTGAATTTCATATAAATAAGAGTCGTTGGAAAACGACAAAGGTTTTTGAGCGCATTCATCTTGAACCAACACCAAATCAACAAGAAATGTGCTATTTCCCGTTCCCTCAAATCCCGTTTATGGAAAAACATCTTGTAGAAGCAATATCATTTATGAAAGTTAGTATAAAAAATTCAACAGTTACAAAATCAGACACAAAAGTCTATTCCCATAGAGATAGATATAGTCTAATCATATTAGCAAATTTCCCCGAAATTATTGTATGGTCTGGTTTTATTGGTGCAAGTTGTTCAATGGGGTATTTAAAACATGGACGCATAAAATGGATGCACCAATTTTTGTGGGAAAACTTTTTATTTGACAATAAAGAATGAAAAAACGTGTTTTTGCGATTCAATGGAAAATGTTGAAAGGAACGAAAAAAGTTTGCATACAAGATTTTTAGGTACTTACGAGACCTACAAAATAGGACCACACGTGAAAAGATCCGACTAATAGCAAAAATGTTATGGCCGAAAAACGAGGTAAAATGCAGGTTTTGGCACTTGTTGGTAATGCGATGATAATTTCACGCAACTAAATGAAATTCTTCAAATCCGTAGGATTCATACTTTTAAATAACAACAACAAAATTGGAGTATATTGGACAAGTAGTTTTTTGAGAATGTCTAATTGTTTATCCCAAAAAAACCTGTTTTCCGGCAATCACTACTAGTTTATTGAGCAATATACACACAAACCATTCCGAAATATAAAGGTTATTTTTATGCGAAAGACGAAGGTTACGTTTTCTCTTCTAAATAAAATCAAATATTTCGTATTTGAGAGTAATTGAACAAATTAATGTGCTACGATATTCGAAAAACCTACGTTATTATACAAATTTTAAAACAAAGAGGATGTGTCTATCATCTTTTGTTGCGAATTACTCACAAATACGAAATGTTTGAATTTGTTTAGAAGAAAAAACGTGACCATCCTTTTTGCATAAAAATAACATAAATAACATTTATCTTCCGGAATAGCTTTCGATTCATATCGGCAGGGTAAACTAGTGCATTTTGCTATCAAATGTCCTCTGAACAAACTCAATAAACTAGTAGTGATGGCAGGAAGATTAGGTATTGTGGGATAAACAATTAGAAATTCTCAAAAACTACTTGACCAATCTACTCCAATTTTGTTGTGGTTATTTAGAAGTACGAATCCTGCGAATTTGAAGAATTTCAAATATCTGCGAGAAACCATCGTCGCATTACCAACAAGTGCCAAAACCTGCAGTTTGCCTAGGTTTTCGGCCATAACTTTTTTGCTATTAGTCAAGTGTGATCTCATTTTGTAGGTCTCATAAATACCTAAAAATTTTATATGAAGAGTTTTTTTTTTCGTTTCTGCCAACACTTTGAATCCCAAACAACACGTTTTCTCATTCTTTGTTATCGAAGGAAAAGTTTTTCCACAAAAATTGGTGTACCCAATTTATGCGTCCATGTTTTGAATACCCCCTTGAACAACTTGCAGCAATTAAACCAGAGTTTACAATTATTTCGCAAACCAGGGGCATTTTCGTCTAATATGATTAGACTAATAAGAGAAAACCGAGCAAAGCGAAAACCCTGAACAAATAGAACCGTGATTTTCTAAGAAAAAGGTTACTATAAAGCCGGTTTTCCACCAAAGCAACTGGGTTTTGTTTCCAAAAAGAGCAACAAAAACTAGTTGCTGTCTTTGGAAACAAAAATTCAACTATGTGTCCACCAAAGCAACATCAATAGATATTTTTGTTTTCGGTTTGTTTTCATCTGTTTCTACTAAAGAGACAGGAAACAGTTTGAAAATGTCGACTAAGAGCGATGATTTATTTGTGATTGCATGTGGGTTTTTCGTTATTCAATCAATTAAAGAAAAACAAAAAAAAGAAAACCAAGATATTGGGTAAGGCCATTTTTAAAGGAACGGAATAAGTATGGCATAAACGAAATGATTAATAACCTACGAAAAGATGATTTGGGAATAAATGGTGAACTGAGGTCTTCATTTAAAAACTTCGTAAGAATATCAAGTGCTGACTTTGAGTATTTAATACAACTAGTGGGTCCGAACATTTTTAAGCAAAACACCAACTATAGAGATGCTATTTCCGTAACAGATCGCTTGGCAATTACATTACGATTTTTGGCAACAGGGGATAGTTTTCAAAGCTTAATGTATTTATTCAAAGTATCCACTACCACAATTTCAAGAATTGTGCCGGAAGTATGCAGTGTTCTATTCGAAGAACTATGTCATTTCATACAGGTGAGTAAAATTTCTAGCAGACACATAAGGTATTTTTAATTATATTTTTTAAAAACAGTAAACACAAATGCAAAGTTATTTAATACTGAACTTAATACTGAACATTTTCTTAAAAAAAAACTCTTTCACCTAAAGAAAATACTGAACATTAATTATTGTTTGCTTCTTGTACTTCTGGTACTCCGAACGAATTTGTTATGGCCCAGTGCAAAACGTCAGCATCACTACTAATAATATTAGTAGCTCCCAATGTAGCGTCCATTGCAGATGATGATGCTTCGGAATTGGAAGCAAAATGAGTTTGTGATCCTGAATTGGAAGCAAAAGGAGTTCGTGATCCTGTTTGTGATGGATTACGTTGTGGATATGAAGGATAGTCATATTTTCCTAGTTTGGCGTTGAATAATATGTCGTTAATTAATTTTTGAGCGGTAACTTTTGCAAATTCGGTCGACAGAGAACGTATTTGGTGCCCTACTAATTCTCCATAAATGTTATACTCGTCCCGCACTTGTGTACCGCCGTTTGACCTATGAAATGCAGCCTTCATCATTTGGAAAGCCTCTTGAGTAATATTCTCGTTTTCAGTTGTTGAAGTAGGTTTACCCTTTTTTTTGCGACTCGATTTTGGAGGTACAAGGAACTGCTCTCCTTCCGATGTATTTCTTTTTGGCGTACTTGGCATATCCTTCAACTGTTCTTGGTGAGGTACTTGGTTACCTGCCTGTACGGATTGCCGGTCCTCAAGGCGGACAACTTCAAAATCTTCTATGTTTTCCTGGGTTTCGGCTTGTGATTGCACTACTCTGTCTTCTAAAAGGCTTTCATTATCGCTACCGTCTGTTGAATCACTATCCTAAAATAAATAGTATCAATAAAATTTTATTATATAATTTAATATCAAAATATCACTATTAAGCATTCTGATATATTTAAATAAATGTATTTTTCCTTTCAGGTTCCAACTGTTCCCAATGGATGGAAAAAAATTGCTAATTACTGCAATAATTTATGGAATTTTCCGATGTGTCTTGGCAGTATGGATGGCAAACATATAGTAATTCAATCCCCGAAGTTCAGCGGAAGTGAATATATAAACTATAAGGGAACTTTCAGTATTGTTTTGTTCGCTATAGTCGATGCCAATTACAATTTTATATATGTTTATATAGGCTGTCAAGGTCGCATCTCAGATGGTGGAGTTTTTAAAAATAGTGGATTTGCAAAAGCACTAGATAAATCAATGCTTAATTTCCCACAACCAACTATATTACCTGGCCGACAAAAACCTGTTCCATACGTTTTGGTGGCAGACGATGCATTTCCTCTGTCTGAAAACATACTTAAGCCTTTTGCGGGGAATCAGGATCGTGGGTCAAGGCAGCGGATATTTAATTACCGTCTTAGTAGGGCAAGGCGAGTTGTAGAAAACGCATTTGGCATTTTAGCATCAGTTTTTAGATGTCTTCGAAAACCTATGCTTTTAGAACCAGAGAAAGTTGAAAAAATTACAATGGCTTGCGTTACTTTGCACAATTTTTTAAGAAGAAATGCACAAGCAAAAGATCTCTATACTCCACCAGGATCATTTGATGCAGAAGATTTAGAACTTGGGACACTAACTGAAGGGGCCTGGAGAAAAGATTCGGAAGTGCTTCAATCATTTTTGCCTATAAAAAAAGTGGCAAGAAAATCCTCATATATAGCTAAAGAAATTCGAGACGAATTTAGTGAATACTTTGTGTCGGAAATTGGACAAGTACCTTGGCAATCAAAATATAATTAATTTAACTTTCACTTAAGGGCTTCTCTTTTCAATCATAAATTACAAAAGCCTTTTATGAATTTCCTTGTTTTAGTCGAATTTGAAATTTAATATTCTTGTGTTATGTACGAGAAAAAATTAAAATCTTTTTATTAGTTATGTATTAAAATACAGGTGTACTGTAGTTAGCTTTAGGAAGTAGTTTACATTTTCTTTAATAGTTGATATACTTATACAATAAATAATATCATTGTAAACAAAGTATGTATTCCATAAAATATACCTCCGCACTATTTTTTATATTTAAAAGATTTGTGATTAACTTACGTCATATTCAATCCCCGCTTGGTGGCCCTTTTTTGGCTTATTTCTGTCTTGCAAGAATGCCATTGCTGTATATCCAAACCATTTAGCTTTAAATTCATTTCCAGCACCCGACTTTTGGCACTTCTTATAATTTCTTCTTTCTCTTTGGTACTGTGTATTTATGTTTTTTAATTTTCGTTCAATTTCATCTTTGGTTGTTCCAAATATTTCCGCTATTTCCTTTAGTGAATCGTATTTTTTATATCTGTTTTTATTATCAACATTTTTTGGATTCCATAAGTTAGGCCGTTCTCGATATACCTCAATTAAATTAGTCACTTCTTCTAACATATTGTCCACGTTTTCTTGTTCATTGTAAATGCACGAAGAGTAAAATCGCGTGACTTATTAAAAAATTAAAACAACAAAAATACCGGAATACGAGTCTCTTGTATGTTTGCACTAAACCAACTGTGTTGCTAAAACCTGCAACCCAACAAGAAAACCTTTTGATCTTTCCGCTCCGAGACGGGACTTTCAACAATTGCCAGAAACAGTCGCCAGCAACACAATGTTGCCGGAATGTTTCCAAATTCGGCAACTCCAACTCGAGTTGCTGTTTTGTTGATGTTTTGTTGGTTTGGTGGAAAACCGGCTTAACACCTGAAACTTATTCTGTGGTATTTTAGTTTTTATGATAATCATGATTTTCTGATCAAATGAAATGTACGTTTAACTGCACTGAGGAAGAGTGGCAAATTAAACGGTTGTTCTTGAAAATTATCATTAACCGTAACATTTTTTTAATTATACTAAGTAGCTGAATTATTCGGTTTCATTATACTATTGGACTAATTTGCTTGGAAATAGCAAACCATCTACCTGTTCTATTAAACTGCTTAATTAGTTTAGATAATTTAGTTTATACAGGAAAGGTGCATTTAAAACACTTAAACATCTTAGTAAAAACAGTTAAACTGTTTACCTAAATCGCGAACTGCGTATAGTGGAGTCGCTGCTGACGTGACGGAACGGGAAGCACTTAAACAAATTTAATAAACATGATTAAATTGTTTTATTGGAGCAGGTAAACTCATTTTATTAGCTCATTAAATTTAGATAAATTGGTGTAATCAATCTAAGTAAGCGGTTTAATGAATTTATACTAAGTGACATATAAATCCAAACACCCAGTTTAAATGGTTTTATTTTAACAAAAGTTGGTGAATGTATTTATCTTACTGTAAATAACAAGTGAAAAATTTTTCAGCCTTATCAGTTGAACATTCCGGTTTTTATACTGTTTTTTTTTAATTCACTAACGCTCTAAAAATGAATATTTCAGCCGCAGTAAAGAATCAACGTTGGCGGATTTTGGTTCTTGACATCCTTTACGATCGGTTACCATGCCTAGAGTACGGAGACCTGTACGATTTCGTCAACTTAGTGAGTTTGATAGGGGCCGTATAGTGGGACTTCGGGAAGCTGGACTTTCTTTTCGGGCAATTGCAGTTAGAGTGCAAAGAAGTGTAGACACTGTGGTTAGGTGTTGTCAGGCATGGCTTCGAGAAGGCCGTACGCAAAGAGCAAGGGGCACCGTAGAACAACAGACCGTGGAGATCGCCGCCTAAGATTATTGTCATTAAGGAACCGTTTCTCCACTACCAGGACCATTGCAAATGAATGGTTTGCAGAACACGGAAGACCTATTGGCATGCAAAGTGTTTACCGACGAATGAGAAGTTTTGGCTTGTTTTCATACCGGCCACACTGGGTCCTCCCTTTAACTCGAGAACACCGACGTAATCGCCTTGAGTGGTGCAGACAACGGTCACTCTGGGATCAGGAATGGAACAGTATTGTCTTTAGTGACGAGTCTCGATTTTGTTTAGGCATGCACGATGGTCGTGCCAGGGTTAGAAGGCGACGTGGTGAAAGGAGGAATCCACAGTTTTTTGTTGAAAGACAGGTTCATCACACTGTTGGAGTTATGGTTTGGGGTGCTATAGCTTATGGTTCCAGGTCACCTTTAATCTTCATCAGAGGTAACATGAACGCGCAGCGTTATATCCACGAAGATCTAGAACCCCATCTTTTACCCTATCTTGACACCCTGGCAGATCCAACTTTCCAACAAGATAATGCCCGACCACATGTTGCAAGAGTCACAATAGACTTCTTTCAAAATAATGATGTTACATTGTTACCATGGCCACCAAGATCTCCCGACTTATTCCCAATTGAGCACGTGTGGGATATGATGGGTAGGAGATTGCTCAATTTGCAACGTCCTCCTCAGACTCTAGAAGCACTTCGAGAGGAGTTGGTGGTTGCCTGGAATGAGATACCACAGGAGGACATTGACCACCTGAACAGAAGCATGCCTAGGCGCGTTGGAGAATGCGTAGCACATCAGGGTGCATCCACACATTATTAAAGGTCAAAGGGCTTTAAAGCAGTGCAATCATTTTGAAATTTTTATCATTTACTTATTATGCTTCATTAAGTACTTATACAAAATTTTATTAAAATAAAACCATTTAAACTGGGTGTTCGGATTTATATGTCACTTAGTATAATTAAACGGTTCCGTTTTAATTTAATCAAACTAGTTACATAGATTCATATGAACTGTTTTAGAAATTAAAACCTAATTGAACTTGCTAGCTGTGAAATGGTTAATTAAATTTTTTTTATTGGCCTAATTAGAATTTTAATTGACTTAATTTGTTTCTCAGTCTCAGTCTTCAGCCACCGAGGTTCCATTTTGCTAGAAAATCATGGAGCTATATCAAAAAGAGTGCTTTGTAGGGCCAGTTTTATATTTTCGAGAAAGGTTTTTTGGAACATCTAACCTATATTCCATAGTAAGTCTTTCAAAGCAGATACTGCCAGCAAAGTGGATGAGGGCAAAGTGGACTTTATTATTTATAAAGGGTTGTCCAATAGGCACGCAGGAAAGTAAACGTGAATTTGACATAGACGCCATCTTTGTTTTCTGTCACCGACATGTCATTTTGTTAGTTGAATGTTTACCATTGATCGCTATGGAGTCGTATTCGATTGAAGACCGCATTAAAGTTATTCAAGAGCACTACAAAAATGGTTCAAAAATAAAAGACACGTTTCGCGCGCTTCGTGAACATTTCGGTCGCAACAACCGCCCAAACGAAACAACCATCGGTCGTCTGATGCGTAAATTTGAGGCAACAGGTTCTGTGGCAAATCTGCCAGGCTCTGGCCGGCCAAGGAGCGTTCGCGCACCGGAAAATATTTCTGTTGTGAAGGAGAGTGTGAGAGACGATCCGAAACAATCAACAACGCGTCGATCCCAAGAATTGGGCATTTCGAGAACCAGTTTGCTCCGCATTCTCCACAAGGATTTGAATGTACACGCCTACAAGATCCAATTGACGCAAGAGCTGCGTCGGGCCGACCATTTTTCGCGCCGAACTTTCTCAGATTGGCTCCTTGAACACCACCAAATTGATGCCAATTTTTCATCAAAAATCATGTTCAGCGACGAAGCGCATTTCACTTTGAATGGGACGGTAAACAAGCAAAACTGCCGCATCTGGGAGAAAGAAAATCCCCGTGAGTATCAAGAGCAGCCGATGCATCCTCAAAAAGTGACTGTGTGGTGTGCATTGTGGTCAAAAGGCATCATCGGACCTTACTTTTTCGAAAATGCGGCCGGGGATGCCGTTACCGTCAATTCTGAGCGATATCACGTGATGATTGAGGACTATTTTTTGCCGCAACTTGAAGGAATGGATATGGACGATATTTATTTCCAACAAGACGGTGCAACATGCCACACAACCAACGTCAATATCCATCGATTGCAGTCCTTCTTCGGTGATCGCGTGATTTCGCGCAGAGGAAATGTGCCATGGCCACCAAGATCGGGCGATTTGACTCCCTTGGACTTCTTTTTATGGGGATATTTGAAAAGCAAAGTCTACGTCAACAAACCAGCCACCCTCCAAGAACTCAAAAGCAACATCATTGCCGAGATAGATGCCATAGAACCGACCATGTTGCAAAATGTCATTGAAAATTTCGATCATCGCGTGGACGTCTGTAAATCCAGTCGTGGTGAACATTTGAGCGATATTATTTTTCATACATAAATGGTATAAATGAACCTTCAAAATAAAGTACCCAACTTGATTTGAATATCAATCTTTCTTGTTTTAATATGATATATCATATGGACAACCCCATATAATCCATATGATATATCAATTTGAAAAGAAAACAAGGATTTCCGTCATAAGTAATAATAATAATAATAATAATAATAATAATAATGAATAAATGGCCTTTATTTTACCTGGCGGGTTACATCAGCACAAGCTGTTTTTCAGAACCAACCAGTAACAATCAAAGCGCAGAGTATGCAAAACTAAAGACAACCGCTGCATTGTATGCTATCGGTGCAGTCATGAATGAATGAGTTTGAGATCGCTGATGGTTATTTTCCAGTCTGTTTTTGTGTAAAATCAAGCTCTTGTCCATTTATTTATTTTTTAAGGACGCGTATACAGGGTGGCGCATCGAAAACGAAACAGCCGCATTTACTGGCAGCTCAGTTTTTTTTTTTTTTTGAAAAACGCTCAGACCCGTCGATTTTGTTTTCGAGGGGGACACAACTTTGGCAAAAAATCACGTTAGCACGTGCAGCC